GTTGACCCGATTAAGATAAGAAATCTAGAGAATAGTTCAGCTATAGCACTACACCACATGCAATTACACACAATCATACAATAGGATGGGATAGGATGACAGTTTTGAAATCTAATGTAACAGCGTGGAGGGAGGGAGATATTGATAACAGGAGCTTTGTTTATCGAATCAACCGACAGGGAATACATGTAATAGGAATGATTCAACACCTGTCCAGTTAGATATCTGGAAAATTCTACTACCCCAACGACGACGAATAGGAGAGAACAAAGAAGACTATAAAACTCAAGTTTCGAAGTCGTGTGATTACAATTGATATGATTATGTATTATTATTATTGCTCCCTTGGGTTCCTAGTAGAACATAGGGTTTGAACTTCACGTCTCCACTTGCTTATGTCTTCTGCTGTACTTTTCACCTGCACCCATGTAAGTCCATATTCTTTCAACTCCTCTTCACACGATCTCCTCCATGTCACCCTTGGACGTCCCACACACCGCTTCCCTTTCGGGTTCCACTCGAGTAATGGCCTGACGCGCGATGTCACCCAGCGGTCTCCTCAGCGAGTGTCCGATCCATCTCCACTTTCTCCTGCATATTTGTTGGGTGATTGGTTCTTGCTTTGTTTGTTCCCATAATTCCTTGTTGGTGATTCTTTCCGGCCATCTGATCTTCATAGAGCGAAGACAGTTGTTAATAAAGGTCTGCAACAGGCTGTTGGAAATATTCTTTGTGACCCCCGCCAAGTTTCTGATCCGTATAGAAGAACTGACTAACTTGACGTGTTTGTATTGAAAATCCCACCGAATTTTGTTGCTGATGCTGAGTGACGAAGATTTCCAGATTGATTTCAGGTTGATGAATGTGTTTCTCGCCTTCCCGATTCCTCGATTTGACATCCTCGTCTGATCCGCCTGTAGTTGAGACAATGCTCCCTAGATGATAAGTGAATGAAGTAACCTCTTTCAAATCCCTCCCGTTGATGGTGATTGACGTTGGATGTTGCTGCTGCTGTTGTTGTTGTTGGCTAGTTATTTTCATAACCTCCGTCTTGTCTATGTTCACCTGGAGTCCTGTCTTCGCCGGCTGCTTCTTCGACCAGTTTGTCGGTTTTCGCTTGTAAGTCTTCGATTTTGTGTGACATCAAACATAAATCATCCACTCGCGAAATCCAGGTCTTCTAGGTTCTTCACGTCGGTCCAGGATATTCCTGTCTTCTCGTTTCCCACTGTCTGACGCATAATCCAGTCTCCTCCACAATTAGGAATATCATTGGTGATAATAGGCAAGCACCCTTGTCTGACTCCTGTGTTTACTCCAAACGCCTCGCTGAGTCTTCCGTTGTGGATCACTTGGCAGGTGCCGTTGTCGTACAGCTGTTGAATAAGGTTGATGAATATTTGGGGTACGCCATAGTACTCGAGTAATTTCCAAATTACTTCACGGTCAACGCTGTCGAAGGCCTTCTCAAAGTCTATAAAGTTGAGGTAGAGGTTTGATTGCCATTCCATGCTTTGTTCCGTGGTGATGATGCGTAGAGTTGCAATTTGGTCAGTACATGATTTGCCTTTCCTGAATCCAGCTTGTTCTGGTCGGAGTTCTGTCTCCAGTGCGTCCTTTAATCTCTCCAGGATGATGCGACTCAGGATTTTACTTGGCGTCGATAGGAGCATGATTCCTCGCCAGTTCTTGCAGAGTCCTAAGTCGCCCTTCTTTGGTAGTTTCACGAGGTAACCTTTCCTCCAGTCAGTAGGCACCTTTCCCTCCTTCCAGACCTTTTGCAATAATGGAGTCAGCATGTCTGCTGTCGTCTCTGGGTCCGCTTTCAGTGCTTCAGGGGGTATTCCATCTGGTCCGGCTGCTTTTCCAGCTTTCAGAAGCTTGATTGCATTCAAGACTTCAGCTCTCGTTGGAGGATTGGTGTCAACTTGCAGTTGTGTGCGCGCTGTTGTTGGTATTTCTGGACGGGTTGCAGGTGATGGTCGGTTCAAGAGTCCTTTGAAGTGATCCGCCCATTGTTTAATCTGTTTTTCTTCCTTGGTAATTGGGTTCCCTTGGCTGTCTTTTATAGGTTTCGCTTGTGTTGGTCTCTTCCCGGATAGAGATTTGGTTATCTGATATAGTGTCCTCAGGTCCCTTTTGCCTGCTGCCTTCTCAGCTTCAGTGGCGAGGTTGTCGTAGAATCGTCTTTTGTCCTTCCTAGCACTCTTCTTCACTTCTTTGTCCAGTGCTTTGTAAGTTGAGCTCATCGTCTCCTTCTCCTGTCCGTCCTTGCATTGAATCATTTTCTCTTTCACCATTCTCCTCTCTTCTATTAATTTCCAAGTGTCCGTTGAGAGCCATTCCTTGTCTTGTCTCTTCTTTCTTCCTAGAACCGTTGAACACGTTTCGTTGAGAATCGCCTTCAGAGACTTCCAATGTTCTTCCACGCATGATTCTTCAGTGATGTCGCGTAGTGTTTCCTGCTTTGCTCTGACAGTTGCAGTGAAAGTGTCTTTTGTGGTTGTGTCCTTCAGTAATTGAGTGTTGAACTTGCATTGTGGCCTATCCCCAGCTATCCTCGAGGCTTTTAGTTTCACCTTGAAAGTCCCTTGTACTAGATAGTGGTCTGAACCCACATCTGCTCCTCTCCTTGACCTTGTGTCCAGTAGGCTCCGTCTCCACTTTCTTGAAATTGAGATGAAGTCTATTTGATTCTTGGTGTTTCCATCTGGTGAAATCCATGTCGTCTTGTGTATATCCTTGTGTTTGAACACACTACCACCAATCACCAAATCATTGAAGGCGCAGAAGTCTGAGAAGAGTTCACCATTGTCGTTCATTTCACCGAGGGCCTCACGACCCATGGTGAGTTCTCTTCCTGTGTTGTCTCGTCCCAGCTTCGCATTCATGTCGCCCATCAGGATTTTGATATCGCCATTTGGGACGTTGTCCATTATTGCTTGTAGTTGTCTGTAGAACGCCTCCTTCTTCTCTTGTTCTGAGACGTTTGTAGGCGCATAACATTGAATGACTGTAACTTTCCTTCCTTTTGAGTTGAACCTGGCTGTCATTATCCTGGAGGAGATTGGTTCCCACTGCATGAGAGCTTTGGTTGCTGTTGGTGACATCATGATGGCCACTCCCTCGGTGTGCTCATGGTTGTCCTCTAGGTGGCCGGAATAGATTACTGTCTCTCCAGTAGGTAGTTGGCACCTTCCAGTTCCGTTCCATCTGCTTTCGCAGATTCCCAACACTTCTATTCTGTACCTTCTCATTTCAGCGGCTATCTGGGCAGCCTTTCCAGTTTCGTACATTGTACGAACATTCCAGGTACCCATCCTTACTTTTGCTTTCATCGAAAGAAGGCACATCGGCTGACTGGCTTCCCGAAGGCTTTCACCAGCCTGCGTCATTTCACTTTCCCGATTCCAGCGAAAAGTAAGGCTATTGCTTATGTTTTTAGAATTTTTAATATATTTATTCGTTGAAGTTTCTGTAGCGATTTGGTTGTTTTACAGGGGTGGAGTTGCTAGCACCACGCCCCAACCCTCCCTCTTTACCCGGGCTTGGGACCGGCTAGAAAACTAGGAAGCTAGTAGCCTAGCAAGCTAGTAATCTGGCGAGGTTGATATGATTATGAACAGCAATAAATTTTGTCCGAAACTGTGTCATGCAGTAAATAATAATACTGCTCACTATGTGATATATCTAATAAACAAACTAATATTGAATTACTTACTACTACAGTGCCCAAGTTTTACACACATATCAACTACAGATAGGTGGCACTGATGAGGATGTGGTCAGTAAAGAAAAACAAACCTTCGTTACTCTGAAAGCAAAGTGAAGACTGACCGCACTCAGCGTATGAGATAAGATTTCGATTTTCAACATTGATGCTAAATCAGATAATCTGTATGGTTCATAGACTTCATGCATCAACAAAAGCATTTCTAAGAGATCAAATAACGTCGTCAATAGCTGCCTTCTTTCTCTCGACACTGAAATCTTATGTTCTGCCAGAAAGAATACTTAGAAAGTAGCTCTGATGAGCAACGAATCAACCAACAACATATCAGTCAAAAAATATTCCTAAGAAATGAAGATGGATTGGGTATACACTAAGAATACCTTTGAGGGACATCACGTGCCGGATAAACCACTGGGTGAGGCTTCAGTTGGAAACGATGAGTTGAGTGTGGGTCTGAAGCTGATTTGGAGAAAGTCATGTTGGGTGGAGGGAATGAGAGTTACTTATGGACAGTTATGAAGTCAGCTTCAAAAGACGAGAGAGAGAGAGTGATGTACTGCTGAAACCTTACTTTCAACTCAAAATCTAAAAAAAATAATAGCATTACAATAACATTTAATCAACAAGTGAAACCACCAAGATCTTTTTTCTATAGTTTGGTTTGTAAGGGTTAGTTATGTTTTTACGAGTTGATCACGGGTCCCAGTGGCTGAATGGTATACGAGCTTGCCTTATAACCAGAAGGTGCTGGGTTCGAATCCCAGTTGGTGCGTACTGCCGATGAGTCCTAAACCAGGATGAAACGATTGTTCAGTAACCCCTACTGATTTTTAATCCTGATATCAATCCGTGATCAACTTGTAAAAACCACTAAGATCATTAGAAAAGTGTTCATAGGAAGTTTATTATCATTTGTAAAATACATTCTAGAACAGATTTCAGTTTCAAACCGATATCAGTCAAAGGATCATTGGAAACCAAGAAGACAATAGTATATTTCGTCCCAGTTTGGTACTCTTTATCAGTGTGCACCTACAATTTCGTCAGTGACAGAACCCTGAGGCTTTCAACCATCCAGTCACTCACTGTCTCAGACTCCAATAACCATAAATTCTAATTTCTGTTAATTCCAAGTCTACTATCACCTCAAAATAACCATCCAGTTCTCGTCGATATTGGAACATTTTTTTTAACTGATATCGTTTAGCGAAAAACAGAAATCGGAATTATAAAAAGACTACCTATATTTTCTTTGCTAAACCCTTACCTGTTTTTCATCATCTGTCAACCTTCCCAATTGTTCTAAGATCGACCGACGTGTTGTAAAATGACAATTTTTAATTCTCGTATTCTTCTTGGTTAATGACAATAATTTACTCTGATATAATTTGTAATATCTTTGTATCAGCTGAATGTCTTCTTCTGTTAAATAACCTAGAGTCATCGGATGATAGGTATTATTCATACAACTTGCTATATTGTCTTGTAAGTGATTATTATCAGTATTATTATTAGTAGTAGTAGTATTGGTATTCTGTACATTTTTATATTCATCAATACATAGTGTATTCCAGTTGAATGTAAATGAATCATTGAACAATGGATTATAATCATTATTCTCTTGTGAATTTAAACAAACTCTATTGACACTTGAATTGTTCAATGGCCGTTTGATGTGGATAAGATTATTTTTAAAAATGTGAAATTTATTCGATAGATAATTTGAATAATAATAATTAGTATTATTTGATGATAAAGATGTGGATAATTTGTCTATAGAATGAGTGGTGTTGTTATTATAAGTAACAGTATTGGTATTACTACTGTTATGTACCATCTGAACAGTAGTAGAGTGACTTTTGCGAAAAAATCCATTCATACTCTCAGGACTGCTGTTTAAATATAATGGGGAATGACTTCTGTCATAGGCATCCTTGAAATGGAGGGAAAGGAAAGTTTGCAAGAGAAGATTAGAAATAATAACATGGGGATAATTAAATAGATAAAAATAAATTCATTCAACCCTGTAGAAGCGTCAAACAAAAACGTCCACAAATTTAATCAGCTTCCAAATATATTTATGGATAATCCCCATCCAGGCATTAATGAAAACAAAAACGTAGTTCAGCGAAGAGTCCCTTTCCGCCGGCGAACTCATTCAGACTTAGATGTACAATCGCAAATATATATATATATATATATATATGTTATTTTGTATGCATGTGTACATTAAGTTTGTCAAACAAAAATACAATTGGTTATGGTTATTTTAACTAAACAGGTGAAGATTTATAATTGGAGTTACGTAATACAAAATCAGTCAAGAAAATTAGGTGTTAATGAAGATTAGGGTCGTAACAAAGGTGATGAGTTGTCACAATCAGTTGTTAAAAAAGAAGTTATGTAATAATATGAATAGTTTCATGAGTGAGTTTTACTCAGGATACACATACGAACAAAGAAGAGAATACGAAATTACGCAAGAGTTCTGAATGAATACAAGAATCCTAAGCAATTAAAGAACAGGCAAACAACCCAAATTAAGTCATCAAAATAATAAAAACTCAAATCAAATCAAAAAAGTTGTTACCATGCCAGTAGAAGTGGTTGAATGATCCTCTTTTGTATGCACAGCTCCGGTTTTTCTATGTGAATGACCAGAGCTTCAGCGATACAAATGCTTGTGGCAACTCATCACTTTTGTTACCACCCTAATCTTCATTAACACCTAATTTTCTTGACTGATTTTGTATTACGTAACTCCAATTATAAATCTTCACCTGTTTAGTTAAAATAACCATAACCAATTGTATTTTTGTTTGACAGACTTAATGTACACCTACATACGAAATAATCCATATATATATTTGCGATTGTACAGCTAAGAAAATGAATTCGGAGGCGAAAAGAGACTCTTTGCTGATCTACGTGTTTTGTTTCCAAATATATGTTCCAAGTTTAGCGACTGATTGACGTCAGTTAGAGAATTCCTGAAGACCAGGAGGCGCTAGACTGCTGTTTTGTCTCACTTTGGGACTCTTCATCAGCAGACACCCAACCGGGGTTCAAATATTCACCAATGATGTTGACCTACTAGCTGAGCTAAAATCAGATCACGAATTGATTGAAGCTGGAATTCATGAACCAATATATATATATTGGCTTCGATTGGCTGGATGGTTCAAGAGCTTGCCTTATAGATGGAAGATCAATGGGTCCGACCCCCAGTGAGTTTGTACTGCTCAACAGTCACAGGCTGGAAAGATGAGATACCCAATGCTCTTAGTGTAACAGCAGATAGTAAGACACGGAAGCCGAGGTGCACTTATCTTCAAGTAATTAGACCACTATTTACAAACACAGTTTTATATTCTCTAACCAATCACTGAGCGTGTGATATATATATATATATATATATATATATATATATATATATATATATATATATATATATAATTAAATGAGGTCTTGAGCACCTTAGGCGTTTTTACTATTAGTGAAACGAATAATTTAAGTGCTTTCTTTTGATTGGTTAATTCTACATCAGAGGCTAAATTAATATATTGATAGGTTTTTTATAGAATGCAATCTAGAAGGCATCAATTATATATATATACATATATACTATTCTATTGCCAACGCAGTATCGAACTGTGAGAATATGTAATAACAATATTCCGTTGGAACACACTGTATGTATCACGCCGCCACACTAGGTCTTCAGTGTTTCTGTTCCCCACAAACTAATCCTTGAAAAACACAAACATATATTTAGTGTACAAGGGAGATCACCAAAGCCTGATCACTAAATAAATACTTGGAACAGTACTCAGTAGAACTTATGATATACAGATAAATTTATTTGCACAGAGAAAATAAGGTCTATGTTGTCTTGTAAATCCTCACAACACTCTAATCTTGGTGTCATGTCCCAGGGTATTTACCAATCTACATATATATGCGTGATCACACTTACATCAAGAGATAAACAACAAATCCCCAAGTAGCTGCTAGGACAAGTAAGACCGCTTGTTTCAAATAATCCCAGAAGTAGATGTCCTACTCCATCTATCACAAAGCATACCATAAAGAAGAGATCGAAAAGTTGATTCCTCTCTCTACTGCCTTTTAAAAGATTGGCGGTGGGGGGGGGTCATTTACTTTAATTTGTAGAAGCCTTAGCCATCAAAAGACTTAAACCTATTTTATGTGTTTAGAAATGATTTGTTATCACTTTGAACCCATCTTAGTAATCGGATTTTGGAACCAACGTCTATTTTAGTGAATAATATTTTGGCTCCCTTCATGTTTTACCTCATTTTTCTACCTACCATTTTAGCTGTGATCATGACCTCCAAATATTTTGATTTATATTGATAGAATTTAGATTGTTTATGCTCTCTTTTGCCTTTTACACATAAATACATATGACAAGTGTCTATGTGTGTCATGCGAATGTTCGGTGACAGCATGATTAAGCCCGGGCTATCAAAAACTTCCATCCCTGTGCGTCGGTGGTACAGCGGTTAGGTTTATCGCCGACCATGCACTTGGTGCGGGGTTCGTCCCTCTGCCGAAGCACACCTTATATCAATGGTTGGCCTGCAAAATTTCGGCTACCGATATTGCATGCTGAAAATTCCATACTTGTACCAAAATATACTGTGTGGAATCAAGCTATAATCAAAAAAAAATATTTTCCTTTTTTCGGTTTGTTTTAATCCATTAAGATACAACCACCTCTAATGTAATTCTATCTACTCTTGTGGGTATTTCGGATGTTTACAAGCTTCTAATTCGGAAGTTCCTAGCAAACTTGAGGAAAGGCCTGACTGTGAGTGGCAACGTGTTCCAATACATGAGATAAGTGGTCTTCACTTATGTTCTTCCGTCTCAAAATGTACTTCTGAACATCTTACTATTGGCTTTCAACTAGATATCACGGATGGATTTCTTGAAGGAGATAAAGCAGATGTATATCATAATAGAATGGTTTGCGCTTCATCAGCTCAAAGACCACTGTGTCACACACAGGATATACTGTCAATTAATATTTTACTTGAAGATATTGATTGTACGAAGGGAAAATATCATGCTATGAACTCCTATGAACATTCTGAACATTTTATAAATACTGTCCAAAATAATGTTATTATTATTATTAGTAGTAGTAGTGTAAAAATAGAAGACAAGGGCCAGACAACACATGTACAACTCATGTACATTATTATAGATTATTGTTAGCCGAAAAGCAGAGTCTTCTGATTGGTTGTTTCTCACTGAAAGTCAATCTTTCATCTCTTTATGGCTGTTTCTTCAATGTGAGATCATCTATCTGCAAATTGTATCCGCCTACGTAAAGTGTTCTGTTGTTGGTTGTTGAATAAGTCTTTGTTCTTATTTTTCTTACGATCAATATTGGGGACGTAAAGAGTGATGTAAATTACTGTCTATCAACTTTAGCTAGCAGCCAGCTCTCACTTCATTACTACTTTCACTCATTTATTTGACTTGGCAATCGTTGCAAGTAAGGTATTAGTTGAACTCAATTGTTTTGTTTAATTGGCGAAGCAGGATTGATCCGTAAACCGACAAAGCTTGTGTTCTAATTGATTTTTTTTTATTACAGCTTGATTCCACACCGTATTGTGTAGGGTTTGAATGCCAGCCACCTTTATTTCTGCGTTGTTAAGAATTCTCCTTAAGGTTTCCGAGGTTCCTTCTTTGACCGGAAGTATTATTGATGATTCATATTCCTTATTGTTGGTATTGTAATTATCCTACGCATGTTTGACATGCATGTCGTCATCATTATTATTATTATTATCACCACTATTATTATTTATTTTATTTTTACATTTGCCTACATATTTCCTGATTAATTTACCAGGATAATTATGAAGTTTCAAAGCTTCTTGAATATACCTGCCTCACTTTCTGTCTTCAATTTTACTTGGTACTATTTAGTTTTTGTGCCATATTGTCACTTAAACATATTGTCACCAATCTTATTTTTACTGACATAGGGTGGGATGATTGGAAGTCCAGATATCGGTTTGAATGTGTGGATTTTCAATCAACCCACCCTATGTCAGTAAACAAAAGGATTGGTGACAATATGTTTAAGTGACAATACGGCACAAAAACTAAATACTATCAAGTAAAATTGAAGACAGGAAGTGAGGCAGGCATATTAAAGAAGCTTTGAAAATCATGGTTTGTAGTCGTGAAAATCCCCCCCTGCCCCAAAATGAACCACTCACTCTATATAGACTCCTGTTCTGACTGATACGTCTTTTCGCTTAACTATGAGTGGAATCCTAGAGCGACATTTTGAAGATATCGGTAGCAAAACAGAACCTCACTTAACTTGTCAACAGCATTTTTAGGACAATAGAGTAGCTGAAAATTTGTCTTATTCTCCTTTCTATTACCAGTATACATAAATACATACCCATGATAATGAGTATTAAGTCTACAAAATAGCTATTCTCCCTCCGTTATTTGTCATAAATGTTTCTGTATCGAAGGTAGCCAAAACTCCATTGAAAGGAGATCCTATTGAAACTTTTTTTTATTACAGCTTGATTCCACACCGATTTTTTGTTACAAGTATGGAATTTTCAGCATGTGATATCAGTAGCCCAAATTTTGAAGGCCGAACATAGATATCAGGTGTGCGTTGGCAGGGGATCGAACCTCGGACCATGTGCATGGTCGGTGAGAGTCCTAACCACAGTGCCACCAATGCGCTTAGGTCTGATATCCGATATTCCTCTTCAGACTAATCTTTAAGAAAAGACTCATTTCATCATGAGCTGACATTGGTTAGAGAGCCATTGGAATAATACCAACATGGAGTACCGGGAAACTGTTTCTTCCCAGTGTAGAACTCTTTGTCAGTAGGAACCTCACACCATTGGGGTTTGAACCCAGGACCTTCTGGTTACAAGGCCAGCTCGTATACCAGTGGCTTGTAACCAGAAGGTCCCGGGTTCGAACCCCGGTGAGTGCCTACTGCTGAAGAGTCCCAAACTAGGACGGAGGAAACAGCTGTCCAGTACTCCCAGGTGGGTTTTCCAATGGTTCTCTAACCAATATCAGCTGATGATGAAATCCTGTAACCAATCAAATCCGTAGAAACCAACACTTGAAAAGTCGCATTCTCTGTGCGATTCAAATCAAGATAAAAAATTCTCACTAAACCTCTCAACACACTCCTCATATTTAACTATTATGTGCAACGAATGTTAAAGGCCATAGGAAAAAACCACAATTACATGATACAATTTCTGAAAATAAACTTACTCGAAATCCGATTGTTTTATTCAACTGCCTTTTCAACACATCATTAGAGTTCAACGAATTTTGATTTTCCCCACCAGTATCATGATTAAAAAGTATAAATCTAATCTTTTTCAATCCTTTCTCTGTCAATAAATTCTTTTTATTCCATAATATTCTTTGGAAATTATTATTACTAATATTACCATTATCACCATTTACTTCATTCATATCAAACCTTTTGTACCAGCCTATATTTTGCTGATATGACTCAGGATGCATACGTACATCCATATAACCAGTTTCATCAATACTGTTCAACTTGATGTCACTGCTTTTACTGCTGCTGCTGCTGTTGGCGATGATTTCATTGGGATTTGTCATCAACCCACCACCCAAGGTAACAACATCATTCAACTGAGTTACAAGTTGTTTCTTCTCCTTTTCATTCTCTAAACGTTTACGTATTTGTTGCTCAAATTCATTGAGACGTCGACGAATCATTCGTTCACGTGGTGGTGTTTTCACTGCTTGACGTACTTTTTGATATAGTTCACTTTCAAGTTTTATGCGTAAGTCATCTTTGGGTTTTGTAGGCTTTATTTCTGTGAAAGGCGAAAACGAAACAAGATGTCCTAAGGATACATTTGATTCACACACATATATATATAGATATGACATAGAGAAGATTTGTAGCTAAGGTGGATGGTTTTGATGTGGTTGTGTTTTCTGAGCTGGATAGTTAATTTGCGAAGCTTTCATCGCCCTACTAGGCGACATCTTACTTCAGCGCATTCAATTCAATTCGATGAAGTGAGCTTTTAGATTTCTCTACGAGTTTATTCATCATCTCTCCTGGTGACCATCTTGAACGTAATTAATTGTTTTTGTGTGTTTTTACACCTTCTAGGCTACTTGAATTGATGGTGGAACTGATTGTTTCTTTGACTTGAACTTTGACCCTTTGAGTGTGAAGTTTCTTTCCTATCGGTTGATAGATTTTGTCTATCTCGATGTGTCTATTGATTGATGATTCACTGGAATACCAGGCAGGCTTCTAAAAATTCTCTTACATTCTTGGTGTTTCCTCTCTCTAATATTTGAACGTTGGTTGTCCCAGTCGAATCGGTGTCTGTGGTTGTCTATATGTATTGATATGAGGGAATGGATGCCATGTCTTTTGACGCTTAGCTTGTGTACCTGGCTACGAAGACGAAGGGGACGTCCTTTTTGGTCAATGTAGTGTTTTTCGCAGTTGTTACAATTTATTTTGTGGATGACGTTGGTTTTATCTTCTTTCGTTGTTGAGTTTTTTGTTGACACAGCTGAGTGAAATGATTTTGTTGGTTTGTGTGCGACGTCAATTCTTGAAGGTTTGAAGAGTCTTGCAGTGATTTCTGAGATATCCTTTATATGTGGTAAGGCGATTTTCTTTGTGCCGTCAAAAGACATGACATCCACTCCCTCATATCACCTCACTGCATACAGACAACCATGGACATCAATTTGACTGGGACAACCAACGTTCAAATATTAGAGAGAGGAAACACCAAGAATGTAAGAGAATTTTTAGAAGCCTGCCTGGTATTCCAGTGAATCATCATTCAATAGACACATCGAGATAGACAAAATCTATCAACCGATAGGAAAGAAACTTCACACTCAAAGGGTCAAAGTTCAAGTCAAAGAAACAATCAGTTCCACCATCAATTCAAGTAGCCTAGAAGGTGTAAAAACACACAAAAACAATTAATTACGTTCAAGATGGTCACCAGGAGAGATGATGAATAAACTCGTAGAGAAATCTAAAAGCTCACTTCATCGAATTGAATTGAATGCGCTGAAGTAAGATGTCGCCTAGTAGGGTAATGAAAGCTTCGCAAATTAACTATCCAGATCAGAAAACACAACCACACCAAAATCACACATATACATGTTGAATAAAGTTCAGATAAAATTTGGAATTTACTAGGACTTGAAATATGTTTTTGACTTGATAGTTATCAGTAACCAGTGTAATGTGTGTGTTTAGTGTGTGTTTAGTCCTATCTTTGGTACAAACTGAATTCTAGCAGTCAGGTTTCCAATACTGCCACCCCCACCACTAGATGGCTCGCCGTCATGTTGCACCTTGAATTGTTAGTATTAGATGGTTGAAGGCAATCGGCCACAGGAAGCCTTGCATGACCTAGTTTTCTTGCTAGTCGGCACTCATCATCTCGAAGTGACTCATGTCCCTTATGAGATTCGAACCTGCATCCATTCAAAAATATCCAATACAGTCAGTCCTACAGGAGGTTGATCGTCAGCCCAAATAGCTCAGTGATAACGTCTTTGATCGACTGCAGTACTGGGTGACGCTAGTTTGAATCTCAGAAGGGATATGAGTTCCTTCGAGGTTGCAGATAGACCTCACTGGCTGATGATTTCCAACTAGCACGAAACCTAGGTGGTGTGCAAGGCTTGTTGTGGCTGATTACCTCCAACCACCTAATACTTGAAATATGTTTCGGTTGTTCCATGGCAGAATAGTTTGTATTCCATTCTCAGCCGGCTACCTCTGCTTAACATCCCTTAACTGGATAGTAAGTCCAGTAAAGAAGACAGGTTGGGCATGAGGTTAGCAACCTCATCCCGTAACAAATACCTTCTCAGATGAAACTTCAGTGCTTCACTCGAAACACAAAGAAATGAGAAAATAGAATTTAAAGTAGGATTGTTTGGGGTTTCATATTAGAATTTGGTGAAAATCAATACCAGAAATAGAAACAGCCACTTAAAGAAACCCCAGGGAGGACAATATTGTTTTGATTGGACACTAGTCAGTAGCTAGTGCAGCGTACCTAGTCCTTTGTGTTGTTGCAGACTGAATTCTATAAGTCAATTTTGCAATGTGTAGTTAACATGCCACTAGTTGGCTCGCCATCTCAAGGTGCACTGTGTGAACTGTTGGTATTAGACGGTTGGAGGCAGTCGGCTACAGGAAGCCTTGGACACCACTTTGGTTTCATGTTAGTTGTCACTCATCAGTCAGTCATCGAGGCGTATCTGCAACTGCCTTGAAGAGACTTATATCCCCTCTGATATTCAAACCCGCATCACCCAGTGTTGCAGTCACAGGTGCTACTACTGAGCCACCAACGAGGACAAGATAATTTTCAATTTTCAACTTCACAACGGTTAAAGCTTTTTTCTACACTACTTAGATCTCATTATAAGCCTAAAATGGTCAAATTTTAGCGGGGATTAAATCATTTGCTACAGCAACTGTCCTCCGTGATCTTGTATGAGGACAAATACTCGCCGAACACATTGACTAGCGGTTGGGCTATATCGTGTATTGGAAGAAGTTTTTTTTTGATTACAGCTTGATTCCATACCGTTTTTTTGGTACAAGTATGGAATTTTCAGAATGTGATATCAGTAGCCCAAATTTCGCAGGCCGACCATAGATATCAGGTGTGCGTCGGCAGGGAATCGAACCTCGAACCGCGTGCATGGTCGGTGAGAGTCCTAACCACTGTGCGACTAACGCACAAAGAGCTCTCGCGCCGGGAGTCGAACCCGGGCCGCCTGGTTGAAATCCAGGAATCCTGACAGCTATAATCTCCTGTTATATTGATCATTATGAACTGAAGCGATTGATCTGTTTTGACTCTGTTTCTCTCTCTAGTGTGTTATTCGTTCATGTGGTGTATGCGGTGTACTACGGTGTACCCCAAATATTCATCATCACCATCGACAATAGATATCGGGTGCGCGTCGGCAGGGGATCGAACCTCGGACCATATGCATGGTTGGCGAGAGTTCTAACCACTGTGCCACCGACGCATAGCTAGAATTCATGTGCTGGCTATTGAGTAGTCGAGTCCCAGTGAGTAGCTGAATTGTATGCGAGCTCGCTTGCCTTGTAACCTGAAGGTCCTGAGTTCGAATCCCTGTAGTGGGTGCGTACTGATGAGGAGTCCCAAACTAGGACGAAACAGCTATCCAGTTCTCCCAGGTTTTCTAGTGGTTCTCTAACCAATGTCAGCTCATGATGAAATCCTGTAATCAGTCATCTGTTTTTCCTCTGTTGTGAAATAAGTCACAATGTAATTAACTTGTATATTACACAGAATTCTTTCAAGCTGAGTAATAGCGAACGACGAAGATTGCTGTTGTTGTTCACCCAGAGTACTCCAACACACAGTAGTATATATGAATGAGATACCATCGAATACCATTCCCATACCGATAAAACAAGCAAGATAAGCAAGCTGAGAAGGTAAGACCAAAAATTACGCAACTGTGTCAATATAAATTCAATAGCCTTACCTACGATCTAATTTAGAAACGCAAGGTTTAGACCACAGCAACAAACAATGTGGCTTCTCTCTGTGTTCACCAGCCCCACATGGGGAGTTCTACATTCCAATTTCCAGCCGATTCACTCTTAAACGTCAGTTAATTGGTGGTAAGCTCAGAAACCAGTAAAGATTAAGCGCTAGGCTAACAATCCCATCACCTAAAAAAATAAGCAACATCACCACTATCACGACTTCAAGGACTAAAGACTGAAGACCTATGTTCCACTTGGAATGCAAAACACTCGGGGAAAAAACTGTCCTTACAAGCTGGAACTCTAATCTATTCACTGATTTGAAAGGTGATTTCCTGGATGAACTTTTCAGATCAGAGGATAAACTATTTCAGGAATTGACAATGTGCTCTTTCTTGTCACTTTAATTACGAAAGTTTTAGCACAGTAATTCTAAGAGTAACATCACAGACGTGGAGTGTAAGCACTCTACATTTCCTCATAGTGAAGATAGCCAGATAGCGTTTTATTTTAAAGCATTGTAAGATAGGTTACCACCAAAGCCTCAACATCAATCAGGATTTTTTCAGAGTAAGTGTGTAACAACAGAAGACAAGGGCCAAGCAACACATCGTTTACTACGGAAATCAGAACGTATTTATATATATTTCATGTACATTATTATAGCTTGTTCAAGCAGACAAACACAGTCTTCTGATTGTTTATTTCTTGCTCAAGGTTATTCTGTACTGCCTGTGACTGGTTTCTCAGAAAGTTAAGCCATATATCTGCGAATCGTACTTGCCCACGTCTGCTGTGATTGGTTGTTGAATCAGCCTTGTTCATATTTTCTCACGGACAATATTAGCGACATAGACATTGGCGTAACTTAATGTCCACCAATTGGCCAGCAGCATGCTCTCACCACAAGTGTAGTAATTATTGCCTTACATGATAGTATATAAGAAACAACTAAAGTCAAAATGATCCCCTTTACTATTTTTCTTTAAATTTTCCCAGTCATCAGCACTTTATTTTTCAAGTTCTGATCATGGACTGATATCAGTTAGAGAACGACTGAAAACTAGCTGGGAGTACTGGACAGCTATTTCGTCCTATTTTGGGACTCATCGGCAGTATGCACTCACCGGGTTTCGAACCCAGAACCCCTATTTTTCCTCCATCAAACATGTCTTTAGTTACGATAACATACTTGACAATTCGCAAATTACCACAGTACTGCGTGAAATTTCAACACACTTCCTTTCGAAGCTGAAACTATTACGACCACAATATGCTATCGGCTTGATGATATTATCAATAAACGATAGCAATGAAAGTGAGCATAAAAGCATAATACTATATATACTGTGGTGAGAGCAGTCTGCTAGTCAAAATTAGTAGACAGCAATTTACGTCTATGTTTACACGCCCAAAATCTTGGTCGTGAGAAAAAACGAGAACAAGGCCTAACCTTGAGGAATGTAACAACCAACCACAGCGGACTTAGCGTGGGTGGATACGATTCGCAGATATATCGTCGGACTGTCTAAGGAATCGCCACCATTTAAAGAGTTTGCTCACCTGTGATATTGCCAGACATCTCCTTGATACAGGCCATGAGGTGGACATCTCAAAATCCTTTACAATTACCAATAGACAAGATATCTTGACTCTGCTCAAGTTTGCTGAAGCGATCACTATTGAATGCCTGAAATCCGATTAATGTGTTCAGAAAAAAGCAGGTATCAGTCTTTCCTTCCCCTGGTAACTGGGTATATTTACCCTGTCTTTTTCACCTGACTATGTTATTCTCTGCCTTAAACCTCTTTCTCTTTGCCATAATGTAATTTTACTTGTGCCTTGTTTCTGTGATCTGAGATGAACTCACCACATTTTCAGTTAATCTATTAGTTACTCATCTCCTACCCTTATTACGTAACTCCTTAACCATTGTATCCAAGCTTTTAATCCTGTTTAAACTTGAACTCCACGCGTTTAATTTATGCAAATGTAATTTCTGAGCATTGTTCTTTCAGTTTGGAGTCTCCTGTCAACCAAGATTACGTAACGCTTGCAAGCATGTTAGAAATTCTTCTGTTCATAAACTTAATTAATAATTTCTCTAGGCTGTACGCATCTGATTTGTAGCCAATAAAATAAATAATGATACCATCTTCCTCTATCTGCACAAACCACTGTTCGTGTTTTATTCAAATGCATTGTAAGATGAAAAAATCTGGGTCACTTAAGGATTAGAACCTAATGTTTCTGAATTGCTACAGCATGACTCCCCCAACGAAACTAAAAGACCCTACTCTGTTGACCAGGCTATTATTTTACTCCAGTCATCACTGACCGCCTATGTCTCCTCCTGCCAAATATTCCATCCTTGTCTAGGAACCACTGGCTGAATGGTCGATAAGTTCGTCTTGTAGCCTGAAGGTCCTCAGTTGAATCCCCCTAGTAGGACTATGTGCAAATAGTGATGAAGAGTTCCAAACAAGGACGATACTGTCAATCCTATTCATATATTCCACTAGAAGGAGATGAACAGGTTGTTAACCGATTTTAGGGTCATCTGAACTGAAGATCTGTATAGCAGCAAGTACAGTCTGGTCTAATCTCTCAACTGATAGAACACCAACCTAATAATTCCCTTGCAGATGGCTGAAAGTCTAACACTCATTACATCATTAACACAGTTTTTTGTTCAGCGAAGAAACGTATTTCTTTTCAACGACTTCATTTTCAAGCTGTAAAGTCGTATTCATATTAGAGAAAAAGGTTATTAAGTTGCACTAAATAATTGCTCAGTCAATATACATATGTAAGTGATAAGAATAACGATAATTAAAATGGTATAAGGGGTAGAGTTGAAGTGGATAAATTACAAAATTATTAAAGATTGTTTTATAAGTGAATTGATACCAGAAATATTTTTAAGAGAAAAATGTCAAGCGTTGTCTGAAAATTCTTAAAAAAATTAGGGGTACTATTACGATAAGAATGAAGATGTCAAGTGAAGTGGAATGAATTCAAGTGGTAAAATAAAATAAAAACTAGAAAGAACATTACTATGACCAAGGTAAAGAAAGGGGTTTGACAAAACGTTTTTGAACACACAATTTAGGTTTCTATTCATGTATAGCTAAAGCTTCAGTTATGCATAAGTGAAGAAAACGTAAACTTTTGGAGCGATTTAATTTTGCCATGTAGATAACCTTGAAAGATGAATCACGTGGGGTTGAATGACCAGAATCTAACAAGTGATCACAAATAGACGACTTCGCAGTTCTACGTTTGCCTTTCATTAACCAAACCGGATAGTGTTCAGCTACACGTTTTCAGAGAGTACACTTACAACGTCTAATATAATCATCTCCACAAGAGCATGTAAAAGAGTAAATACACATAGATGTGGACAAAAGCGGTAATCTATCCTTGACGCATTGTCTAATCATGTTTTGGCTGCTAAAAACTAGTTGCAAGTCAGCTGCGGGAAAAGCGCGTTTAGTACATTTAGATAAAGGATTTTTAATCAATTCAGAAATGGTATCACCTTTGAGTGAAAGACTCATAAACAGTTTCTTCTCTGGTACTGTGATTTGTCTAGGGGTAGATTCTTTCTTGATGTTACGTTCAGTGAACCTTGTAGGATATTTATTGTTAAGGAGATTTGAATGAAGGTTATCTAGTTCACTACCAATTGTCTCTATAGCGCAGATTTTACGAATTCTGGAGCATAAGGAGTGAATAAGATTTTTCTTTCTCCCTAAAGGTACCCAACTGTTGAAGTTAGTGTACTGTCCTGTGAATGTTGGCTTTCGGTAAATCGACCTTAACAGTGTGCCATTCTCTCTTCTATCTAGCTTAACATCAAGGAAGTGAAACGAGGAATTCGAATCTTCTTCGACCGTGAAAAGAAAAGATAGGTGAGAGGCATTAAATATTCCAAGCAGTTCGGCAGTTGAAGAATGAAGGTATCATCGATATATCTTTTATACATAAACAAACTATCGATAGTTTCCTTTAGTGGGCCATTCTCTAAGCTTGCCATGAAAACGTCCGCTAACAACTTTCTAGTTTTATTTTATTTTACCACTTGAATTCATTCCACTTCACTTGACATCTTCATTCTTATCGTAATAGTACCCCTAATTTTTTTAAGAATTTTCAGACAACGCTTGACATTTTTCTCTTAAAAATATTTCTGGTATCAATTCACTTATAAAACAATCTTTAATAATTTTGTAATTTATCCACTTCAACTCTACCCCTTATACCATTTTAATTATCGTTATTCTTATCACTTACATATGTATATTGACTGAGCAATTATTTAGTGCAACTTAATAACCTTTTTCTCTAATATGAATACGACTGTACAGCTTGAAAATGAAGTCGTTGAAAAGAAATACGTTTCTTCACTGAACAAAAAACTGTGTTTTTAACTTACGAGTACATCATTAACACTCTGCCGACCAACAAGTGTCTGCTATCGTCTCACCATCAGTTCATATTGTACAGCTAATGCAGCACTGAAGGCTAATCATTTCCTTCCCTCAGACTATTTGAAATTAATGTAGAAAAAAAAAACAACAAAACACCTATGAACCTACCTGTCTCTGTAGTCTGCTGCAATCTAGTCGGTGTTTTCTCTACTTTTCCAAGATATTTATGTGGAAATCCAGTTAGAAGGTGTAAATGATGTGATGATCTTTGCTGAGGATATTCCCCGAAGGCTGTATAAGAAGAAGAAGTTGATGACGAGGATGCTGATGATGAGGCTGAAAATGACTTAGAATGGGAAAACATGCAGGTGGATGGGATATCCGATTGCTTAATCCATGATAACTCAGAAATCATTGTAGGTATTCGATTATTATTTGACATGTAGTATGTATTGACTTTATCGATGTTCATTAGCAATGCTAATTCGTATAAGACATTTTAATATTTGTGTTTTGAATTGTGAACAATGTTTTTCGTTGAAGATTTAGGTATTATTTAATAACAGTGGGTTTTAAGTTAGGTTTTGTTAAGTAACGAAGTACTTTCAGTGGATATATATATATATATATATATATATATAATTAAATGAGGTCTTGAGCACCTTAGGCGTTTTTACTATTAGTGAAACGAATAATTTAAGTGCTTTCTTTTGATTGGTTAATTTTACATCGGAGACTAAATTAATATATTGATAGGTTTTCTATATAATGCAATCTAGAAGGCATCAATTATATATATATATATATATATATATATATATATATAAATTTGTATTTTCCGTCAGAACTTCAGAAAGGCATCATTCATCGTTCAAATCAAACAGGCTACATACTACTGACCAGTTAAAATCAGTAGTTGGGCCCCACTGACATCAATGAGTAGTGTTTACTAACCAGATCAAGGTAATCCTGTAGTACCCCATATACCAACTATAAACATACGCTTCTAAATCTAGTTTGCACACTTATATTATATGTTTACACAGACCGATTTTACATGTACTTTGCGGCTGGACTTATTTATCACGTACTGTTGAAGTTCCGCTTGGGAATTGTTTTTGCCAACAATTTTTAATAAAATTGTGTTATATGTTATCCAGATTGATGGAAATTCCCATTTTTAGGCTAGTTATGTTGGTGTCCGCGTCATGTGATCTGACTGCGACACACTTTTAGCATATTGGTTGCAATGATTAGTGTTTCAGGTGGACTGTATCAAAATATCGGTGTAATGAGGAAGATAGGATAGTTAGAGGGTAATGCCATTTACACAAATCGTTTACTCCATGTAGAAGCTGCACCTTTCGGCATAGTATCATTCAATGAGGACTTAAGTCTTCATGAATTCATGTCCCAGGATATCAATACGGCCTATTTTCGTGTGAAGAACAGTCTTTTTTGACAAAACAATTCTCTCAGTACTTGGAAATCATCTGTAAATGCTATCAGAACCGTTTGTGGGAACCTAAGTTATCATTTAGATGTGCTTTTCACTCCATCTGTGGTTGGACAGGAATTATGGTAAGTTGGAAGGTTATCTCTAAGTGGATTTCACTTATATTGGCACTGATCGGTGCAGTGTGCTACGGGTTATGTGAATTAAATGTACAAAAATATCTCAACTTTAATAATATTGTGCCATTGTCTACTTAGCTGACTGATAGGATAACAAACGAAGGTGGTTGTCACGATTATTGCAAGTACAATGCAGTGGAGAAGGCAATTACTCGTTTAAATTTCTTTGGTGATAGCTTGATAGCTACTTCACTAATCTGTTAATATGCAGTGACATCATTAAATAGACTGTTCACTTGACAATGAGCTAAGAAACTATTTTTATTTATTTCTAATATGCCGTTGAATCATAGGATGTTACCTAATATCCATCATTTCTATGATCAACACCTGCGGTATTTGCATATCTACTTTATGGATATTAAATAACTTACGCCTTTATGCATGTAATTACCTCCAGTATTCCCTATTCATTTGATGTGTGTGCACTAAACAAGTCTTTCATAAATTGTCCCACGAATGCCAAGGTTTCTGGTGTCACAAGTGTTAATAATAATTGCTTCATTGGTTTCAATGTAAATGACGCATATACGAAATAAGGAAAAGTTACTCTTACCTAATCTTCAACGTTCACTTAAAGCCTTTAACGATCCCAAATAATTATCCTATAAACACAGTAGAAGTACTTTAGATGCAGCTGCAGTCTTGCATCACAATATTTTCTCCAGTATAGACAGTGGGGCTAAATTCGCTGCACCTTCCTAGATTACACATCTGCTTTCGACCCAGTACCTAGAGATATTCTGTTAAATAAGCTTGCTGAAACTCAAACTGAGTGTTGTATTGTTAAATGTACTGTACTGTACTAAGATGAACAGCTCTCTATTAGGAGTCAGAAAATGCTCTTAAACTAAATCCTTCGAAATGTCAGACTGTTATTTCCAGTTTCCGTTGTAAAAGAAAGTTAGGTGAAGGTGTTAATTCCTATGACCGTAGCAAAATTGATGATAGTGATATAGAAATCAAGTCTGACTTTAAGTATCTCGGACTAATTCATCACAGCGTATTAGCCTTAAATGCATGCCACATGCAGGCATAATATTTAAGAGCTAGATATGAAAATGAAGGTAAACGCTCGTACAGTACATTCATTATTTGCAAAATTAACTCGTATGTAAGAACTACGGTTTGATCAGTTATACAACGTTTAATACATTTGGACACAACTAACCTACGATGCTTACTTCTATGACGCATTACCCAAAGCTACCTTAATATAGTTTCCGCTGAAGGTAATCTCCTATAGCTACTACCATAGTGGGCAACTTTACATTATCTTTGAATAACGAAGTAAAAGCGGAAATTCTGAGAACTTTCGTGGTGAAAAGATCGTCTCCTACTCCAAAAAATTAAATATACCCTAGTCTCCACAAAAACGTTCAGAGGTATCCATCCTATCACCTCAAACGATTCACTATTTGCAGTCATTTAAGAAGTAGAAATAAATTTACCGATGGCAGCTTGCTTATGATTTCTAGATATCATAATGTACCATGAGGAAAACGCTATATCCGCGCGGTTATAACAGTCGTATGCGCGAAATTAGTCCGAAACACAACAACCACGATTCTCAGTCACAGAACATCCTACTTCGCTACCTAATCGAATCAACGGATGTTTTGCCAAAGAAAAGAAGACTACTGGTTCAAAGAAAATTTATTTAGTTTTTTTTAAAATCATGGACAACCGTGTTTATAGTCACGGAAAAATCACAACTTCGAGGAAACCACCGATCGTATATTACAACCCGAAACGTTATTCTTCCTAATTAATGTCTTACCTTAAAATGGGATAGTTCGTACACTCACCAGATCATCGTATTTTATCCGCTTTGCTACACATCGAATGGATGTTAGCACTGGCTCTATTACGGGTAGTCCTAGTTCATGTATTTGGATCTAGTACACTAAGCAATAATAAGCATAAGTAACACTTACCCTTAAAGGTTTAGTTTCTTTCAGTTCCCCAAAATACACACAAGCACAACAGATTCATACATCTCATGCGGCTCAACCTCGTTTGAGTTAGATTCTCTCACAATATGTCTTTCTAAATGATAGCAGACACACTCATGGTATATTCACATTCTCAAAAAGCTTCAAAGCTTCTTCAACTTCAACCCAGGTTCCAAATTCTCCAGGATTATGTTCTTTGAAAGCCACGCTAATATCAACTTTGATCGTGTTCTCCTGGTAAACTGTTGCATGCTCTAGACATGGACGTGAAAGACATTAGTTTTCCAGATTTCTACATGTTAAATAAACAAATGAGCCAGCACCAAAACCTGCAACCAACAAATGGACTGGAAACAACTGCTTTTGCCCGCCAAACATCTTCATGTGCATTATTTCCAAAACTTCTATACAGTACTAATTCATTAACAGCTGAAAACCAACTAAAACACTGAAAGCCGCATGAATGCAAGGTATGAAACAATTACAACGAAATGAATGCACTGACCTGGTAGTGAAAACTTTCGAAACCAAAGAAATAATTCATTTTAACAGCAACGGAAACAAAAAATGAGGTGAAACGAAACATTTGTGAACAATACGCAACGAGATAAGTCGTGAATAACTGCAGGATAAACGGGACAACAAACGCGTAGACGAACAGCTACGGAACTGCTACCCAACATGGCCGATGAACATGGGCGAAAATGACCTTTGAGCGTCTCACTCCACCAATGACCTTGTAAGTTACGGATAATTTCAGTCAATCCAGCTCCTAATTCTTCACCGAAAACAGCACACACCAACTCGATAGACATAGGTGAGCATGATGCTGAAACCCCTCTTAACATAGAATCGTCATGTCCAGCAGAACTACTGGGTGCTGAACCACATTCGGGGCTGACTAACTAACTTAAATACTTCAAATACTATTTCAACTCTCATCCTTACCTAGTCCTCATAAATGCTAGATCTGTTCTAAATAAATTCCCGATGCTCAGAGCACTCATAGTAATATACAAACCCCCTGTAATTGTCATCACTGAATCTTGGTGTCATTCGAACATCCTGGATGAAGAAATAAGCTTAGATAACTACACACACTTTCGGTGTGATAGAAAAGGTGGTAATGGAGGGTGTTGTCTCATGTACTTTCTGAATGCACTTACTGTATCACAGCTAGAGAGTAGTACACTTAACATGCCTGAGACTCCATGGGTTAATGTACACTTAAATAGCGTAACAGCATTAATTGGATGCACCTACAGAGCACCTGGCACCTTTAGTAATTACGAGACCCAACTTATTAATACTCTGGAGCAATTATCCGACTTACAATACGATCATAAGATCCTATATGAGGACTTTAACTTACCTGAAATCAACTGGGATATACCCACAGGCCCAACTAAATTTGATAAGTTCTTGGACACGCTGGATATACTTGGCTGGAAACAAACTGTCACTACTCCCACAAGAGGTAATAACGTACTAGACTTAATCTTCTGCTACAATATAAGCCCCCTTTCAACCCTGGTAGGTTCTGAGTTTCCAGGGAGTGACCAAAAAGCTGTGATGTGTGCACTGCCAATTCCGCTGAGTAGCAATGCATCTCATACCTCCACTTCACAACAAGTAATATATAGGAACTATAGTAAGGCAAACTGGGCCTTAGTAGAATCATTGCTAAGATCCTCCAAATGGGATGAATACTTCACTACTGATGACCTATCGAGAGCTCTAACCATCTTCTACCATAACTCTAACACGTGCTTAGATGCTGTCATTCCACTCCAAACACTAAAGGTTTCCCCACACAGAAAGTCATTCATAAAACCAAAGGATCGTACGAAACTGAAGAGACTCTCAACAAGTTACTTCAAAC